GCTACTTCCTTGTGCTTGTTGACGACTTCACTCGCTACACCACAGTCTTTCCCCTGGAGCGCAAGGCCGACGTGCCTGGCGCCCACATCCCCTGGCTTGTCTCTGCGCGTGTCCACCGCGGTCTCCCTGTCTTGCGTCTTCACTCAGACCGTGATGGCGAGTTTGCCTCAGGTGTCCTTGGTCGCTTTTGTCGTGCGGAGGGCATCACCCAGACGTTCACCCTACCGGACTCCCCACAGCAGAATGGGGTCGCTGAGCGACGCATCGGTTTGGTCATGGAGGTGGCTCGCACCTCCATGATCCATGCCGGTGCACCCCATTTTCTGTGGCCGTTCGCTGTGCGCTACGCTTCTCACTAGCTTAACCTGTGGCCGCACCCTCAGCAGCCGCAGGTTTCGCCGACCCGTCTTTGGACTGGGTCTCCTGGTGACGCGTCTGCGTTCCACGTCTGGGGCTGTCTTGCTCACGTCCATGCCTCCGGCACGGACAAGCTCACTGCCCGCACCCTTCCCTGCGTCTTCCTCGGTTTTCCCCTTGACGCGTCCGACTGGCACTTTTACCACCCGCCGTCTCACCGCTTCTTTCACTCTCGTGACGTCACCTTTGACGAGTCCGTCTCCTACTACCGTCGCTTCCCCCACCGTGGTCCCCCGGTTACCCCCCCTCCCGTTCCTGGTCACTCCTTCCCCGGTAGTCCCTGCCCCTCCTCCTCCTCCTCCCCGTCCCGCCCCCTCTGGTGTGTCCCACGTCACCCCCCTTCCGTCGGTGGACTCGGTTGAGGAGTCTTCGGACTCTGGTGGCCCTCCTGTGCAGTCCTCGTCAGCCGCCCCTCCCCTGGCGTCCCCTCCCCAGTCCCCTCCTCCCCCGCTTCTGCCGCCGCTGCAGCCGTCGTTGCCGCCGCCGCCGCAGCCGCCGCTGCCGTCGCAGCACCCGTTCGCTGACTCTGGGGGTGCTCGTCCCGGTAGCCCTGGGGGTGGTCCCTCTGGGGGTGCTGGTATGGAGAGTGTCGGGGGTAGCCGAGGAGCAGCTAGCGGTCCCGGTGTCGCCGTTGTGCCGCCGCAGCAGCAATCCCCGCCGGTGTCAGCCCTTCGCCTGCTCGGCCTGCCGTCCCCCGACCCTGCGTCGGTTCCTCCCCGACCGTCTCCTCCTCTTCCTGTCTACGGCCCTGTTTTCCCTCCGCCGGACTCGTCCCCGGCTCGTCTCCCCCCTCGTTCCCCTCCTGTGTCCCCTCCTCTGTCTCCTGACCCGACTCCTCCGTCGCACGTCTGGTCTCACCGTCCCTCCTGTGCTCGTCCTGCCTCGCCTGTCCTGCGCTCCCACCCTTTGTTGCTTCGTTCCCACGCGTCTCGTCCTCCCCTTCTGCCGTCGCCTCCTCCTTCCTCCCTTGTTGTTGCACCCCCCCGCTGTCTGACTACCTTCGTGCCGCTCGTCCTCTTCTTCCTCGCGTCCTTGCCTCTCTCGTTACCGACCCGTCTGTTCCGGCCTCGTGCCTTGACGCCCTTGTTGCTGCTGTCGCTGACTTCGCCTCTTCCCGCCGCCTTGACTACGCCTCCGCTCTGGTCTCTGACCCTGCCTGTCCTGTGTCTGTCGGGGGTGCTCCTGCCCTTGGCAGTGACGTCCTGGAGGACCGCCAGTTCGAGCTTGCTTTCCTCTTCGAGGCTGCTCCCCATCTCTGTTCCATGCTGCTAGTCCCTGAGGGTGACCCAGACGCTTTTGACATCCCGACCCCTCGCACTTACGCTGAGGCGACCTCGGGACCCTGGGCCTCGCAGTGGATAGCTGCCATGGAGCAGGAGATGGCATCTTGGAGATCCACCGGCACCTTCGTCGACGCAGTTCCCCCACCTGGGGTGAACGTAGTCGATGGCCGCTGGCTCTTCAAGGTGAAGCGCCCTCCTGGAGAGCCGCCTGTGTTCAAGGTGCGCTACGTGGCTAGAGGCTTCAGTCAGCGCGAGGGGGTGGACTTCTTCCAGACCTTCGCTCCGACCCCGAAGATGACTACTCTTCGGGTTCTGTTACACCTAGCTGCTCAGCGTGACTACGAGCTTCACTCCCTCGACTTCTCCACTGCCTTCCTTCAGGGCAGCCTACACGAGCAGGTCTACCTGCGGCGCCCTCAGGGCTTCACTGGCACCTTCCCTCCTGGGACCCAGTGGCTCCTGCGGCGCCCCGTCTACGGCCTGCGCCAGGCTCCCCGTGAGTGGCACGACACTCTCCGTGCTACGCTTGCTGACCTGCAGTTCTTTCCGTCTTCCGCAGACCCTTCCCTCTTCGTTCGTGCTGGCCAGACTCCGTTCTACATCCTTGTTTACGTCGACGACCTGGTCTTTGCCACAGCAGACAGGGACGCACTGGCCTCCGTGAAGGCAGAGCTGCTGAAGAGACACACCTGCACTGACCTTGGAGAACTGCGCCGTTACCTTGGCTTGCAGATCTCCAGGGACAGAGCTGCGCGCACCATCACCTTGACTCAGTCACACTTGGTGCGCCAGGTCCTTCAGAGGTTCCGCCTTCAGTTCTCCTCTGCATAGCCCACCCCTCTGCCTGTAGACCACAGGCTCTCCGCTCCAGTGTCTGAGGAGTTGGTAGAGCCCAGCGGCCCCTACGCAGAGCTGGTGGGTTGCCTCATGTACCTGATGACTTGCACTCGCCCAGATCTCGCATACCCTCTCAGCATCCTGGCTCGTTTTGTGGCCACAGGCAGACACCGACCGCAGCACTGGTCTGCCGCTAAGAGGGTTCTGCGTTATCTTGCTAGTACATCGGGCATGGGGTTAGTGCTAGGAGGACGCAGGCCAGTGGTCCTTACTGGACACACTGACGCTTCGTGGGCAGACGACGCTGAGACACTCAGGTCTACCCAGGGCTACTGCTTCAGCCTTGGCTCAGGTGCCGTCTCGTAGAGAGCTACTCGCTCCTCGTCTGTGGTGCAGTCCAGCTGTGAGGCTGAGATCTACGCTGGTGCCATGGCGGCACAGGAGCTCCGCTGGCTGACCTTCTTGCTCACTGACTTAGGTGAGCGGCCTAGCTCTGCCCCGGTCCTGTTCGCTGACAACCGGGCCATGATCCTCCTGTGTCAGGAGCCTCGACTCGAGGGCAGAGCGAAGCACATTCAGCTGCGGTACTTCCTCCTGCGTGAGCTACAGCAGCGACGTCAGGCTCGCGTAGTACACTTGGCCTCAGGTGCCAACACGGCTGATATCTTTACGAAGGCGCTTGCGCCTAAAGATCATCAGCGGCACTGTGTACAGCTTGGTCTAGTTCCTGTAGTTTCTCACTTGCTAGGAACTTGACTTTGTACTGTCCTTTATATCCATACTCAGACTGGACTTGTGTCCTCTCCCAGTGGCTGGACTAGTAGTGCCGCCCTGCTCTTGCTCTTGCCTTGTCTGTACTCCTTCTGACTGGTCTCTCAGACCCTTGTCTCAGAGGTTGGACTAGTAGTGCCGCCCTGAGCTGCTTGTTTAGGACATTCCCCTATGCAGTCTAGGGGGTGTGTCAAACATGTGTATTTGTCATGTTTGTATAGACTGTATAGGGTAGTCTCTTAGAGGGTACAACACTTAGGTATATCTGTGTGTACCCTCTCTCTAACATTATTCAATTATTCAACCTTGAGAAAAGGTTCTTACTTAAGTCTTGAAGTATTACAAGGCCCTAACAATCATTCTGGTGTTACAACTCGTTAATACTGTCTATTACTGGAGGTACTTCTAGTATGATTTTCTACTTCAAGTACTTGTGTCTACAGATTCTATACCTAGTCTTCTGCACCGTTTTTCTAATTCTTACAAGAAGATCCTCGGGGAAGGGCCACAGGTGTAGAGCCTGGGGGGCTATGGGCAGACTGACCCTCTATTAACAAGCCCTTTTAACTCAATGGTTAGTGGCTGAGTTTCTAACACATTCGAGCGCTTTTCACATTTCGTGCTCGTCGAGTGCGGACCGAGCCCATTTTCCCGCCCCACATCCGAGCCCTGCCGAGCTTGCTGTTTGCTTTGTGCCTAGCTATATCCTAGTGCTGGGCTGATTTTGATGTCGCCTATTGTGTTATAATTCTCGCTAGTGCAATTCACGTTTCTCGCTACTTACACATCATAACAGCATCACTTTATACACGCTGTAAGGGGGTGTATCAAGCAGCTGAAAGCTTGTGACATCGAGTAACCGCCTCCGAACGCACAGGATGCTTCTAGATAAAAAACAAACCGTACTGTACCGCGTAGCACGACATCATGTTCAAAACTTGAAATTGTAAGCCACAATATGAGTTAGGTCGTCGGGTTGGATTGACGGTGGCTAGGCAGGCCTCAGCCCAAGTGTACGAATTTTCTTGACTCGCAGCCTTGCTGAGGTCCAAGCACGAAGCCAGGCGTCTCCGGCCCGGTTACCAGCAGAACTGTCGCTCCACCTTAGCTTCCTCCTCGCGAGCAACCGGCCTAGCTACGAAATTCGCTAGAAGCCTACAGTGTGCCAGTTTACAGCTTCACTAGTCCGCCGGATGTGCAAGCTGCTCCCATCGGATGGCTCAAATTAGCGTTTCCACGCTTCGACTATGCAATGCCTTCGATATAAGGAACTGGGGGGTGAGGTTTGGGAGGTCGGGTGAGGGAGGTTTTCTGGGGAGCGCGGCAGCACTCCCCTTGCCTCGATTGCCTCCTGCATTTCCCTGCAGCATCAACTACCTTTTGTCGCTATCTGGGAACAGAGGGGTGCAATGCACCAGCCGAGGCGGCTCGGATCTGGGTTTGGTCATGGATCGAGTTGAGGGACTCAAGAACACAACAGCAGCGCCGCCAACCTCGATCCACCACCGCAACCCATAGTGCACAGTAACCCAGCTCAGCACAGCACCATCGTGCTTCATTTTCCAGCCCTTGATTTCGCCCAGCCCTTGGTTTCGCCCAGCCCTCGATTTTGCCCAGCCCTTGGTTTGGTCCGGCCATCGAATTTGCTTGGCCACTGGGCTTGCTCTGGCTTGTCTTCTGCATTTCTCGACTCGTCGCACACACGGCTAAACTCGGCTCTGCAGTTACAGTATCAACGCAAGGCATAAAAGGCCTCCAACCATAGCTTCCCGTAAACGCCGCGTTCAGCAGAGTGCCTCAGCGATACATCTTCGTCAGCCACCACTCGCAGCACTACCACTCGCTTCTGAGCTAAAACGTGCAAGCCACGTGTACGACTGCGCTCGCTTCAACCCGAAACGTGTTGTTCTCGTGCACCTACGCTCGCTCGATATCGCTTGCACCAACCATTTTCGCGTGGCTTGTTTCGACGCGCGATGGCTCGCCTCGGACTATTCTCGGCTCTCGAGAGACCTTTATTCGTCTTGCTTCTGGTATGTCCGAGTTTTCTTCGCCCGTCTTCTCGTCACCTTGCCGATTTCTCGTCACCGTCTTGCCGATTTCTCGCGACCATCTTGCGAATCTCTCGTCTCCGCTTCGCCTGTTCGGACAGCGGCTAGCTCTCAGGCCCGGAAACGAGCCCACGCTTCCGCCGCCGCTTCCGCCGCCATTTTCGTTTTCCATGCGCTCCCGCAAGATACCAACTCATCGGGCCCAGGCCATCGTTGTCGCATTGACCGTCTTCGACGACGGTCTCGTTTTCGCAGCTCCCGCGCACCATTTCTCCCTGACTCACTTCCGTTTCCTCTCTTCGCCACATTCCATTCGCCGCAGGTGGTAACATTCGCCAGCGCTTTCGCCGACGCGTACAACATGAGCGGGCTTTCGCCCAACCCGATCAAATTCAAGCTGCCGTCGGGAATCACCAAGATCCGAGATTTCCTCGACGACGTATTGGAGAGGGACAGGGACACGTACAATGGTGACGTGTCGGCCGCGAATCAATGGGGACAGGCGATTGTGTCGGGGTGCTCGACGACGTGCGGTGGGCAGAAGAAGAAGTGGCAGTGCGGCGTGATGCACGAGCCGATCAACGTGTATCTCATCTGGTTCGGGCGGTTCAAGGAGAGCCAGAAGAACATCATTCGCAACTTCGTGCGGTCGCTCAGCGACACCAGTGACCCCGCCAACACGGGTGCGTGTGTTTAGTTGGCGGGGCGTCGCTGTGAGTCTGGGTAGGCGACTGTCGCAGGTGCCTGACTGTCGCACATGGCCAATGCGGCTTGATGCAAAGGCCGATCAACATGTATTTTTTTGGATTCCCAACTTCGTGCAGTCTCTCAGCGCAGCGACACCAGTGACCCCGCCGACCCGAGAGATTGTGCACGGCTGACCGAGATTGTGCACGGCTGACCGAGATTGCGCACGGCTGACCGAGATTGCGCACGGCTGACCGAGATTGTACACGGCTCACCGAGATTGTGCACGGCTGACTGAGATTGTGCACGGCTGACCGAGATTGTGCACAGCTGACCGAGATTGTGCACGGCTGGCCGAGATTGTGCTCAGCTGACCGAGATTGTTGTGCTCGGCTGACCGAGATTGTGCTCGGCTGACCGAGATTGTGCTCGGCTGACCGAGATTGTGCTTAACTGACCGAGATTGTGCTCGGCTGACCGGGTGACGCAGGTGATCGCCTCCTTTCCATTCAATCGTCCTAACCCCCCCTTTCTCCACCCTCTCCTTTCCCCACTCCTCTCCCACTCCTCTCCCACTCCCACACCCTCCCACCTTCATTCCGAGTGGTGGAACATCATCCGTCTCCACACGGACTGCAAACCCTGTTCCCGCCTTCGTCCCATTCATTCCTCCCATCTTCCCCACCCTACCCCCCCACAGTTTCCCAATGGTGGAACATCAACCGCCTGTACACGGACTGCAATGGTAACCCTGTTTCCGGGACAGTGCGGCTGGCGGGGGACCGCCACCTGAAACCACGCATGCGCTTCCTCTTCAGCAACATGGCCATCTCCTATATTGTCAACCGCGCTATTAGCGCTAAGGCGTTCCCTGCAGACTCTAACGGAGTGTACTTTGTCATAACCGATAAAGGCACGACACAGGTGGGTCACTTTTTTACTAACTCTGGGTGATTACAGCGTGACTGCTTGTGTTTCCCTCGCTGGTTAAACCACAAGACTGCTTCACACATCAGCCCTCCAGTCGTTTGAGTCGCTCAAACAACTGCCAGTTGACCTTCTTGTCACCTTGTCCTTGTCAGTTGTCTTTCTGTTGGCGGCCCTTGGCCTGGTATATCTATCCTTGTCCTTGTCTTTTTTTTCTGCATCACTCTACTGCTGTGTCTCTCTCCCTTTTGCTTCTGAGCAGAAATCGTTGCTGGGTGGGTTCTGCTCGGCCTACTGCGGCTGGCACTCGTTTGACACCATCAAGGGAAAGGCGCTCAAGGTCTCTTTCGTGGGGCATCCAGGAAGGGTGAGTCTCAGGGCGGCATTTGATGTCTCGGAGCATCAAGGCCCTGTCTGATGTCTCAGAGCATCAAGGACCTGTTTGATGTCTCGGAGCATCAAGGACCTGCATCATAGGCTTAGGTGCTGAATGGTGCATCCCAAGGTTCCTTCGGGTGAGTTGCATGACAGCATCAGGCTCTCAAAGTCCCCTTTGTGGGGCGTCGGGAAGGGTTGGTCGCAAGGTGGGCTTTGACACGCGTGTTGCAAGGTTCGTCCCATCCGTCCCATCCCCGTCCGTCGTGTCCGTCCCATCCATCTTAACCAGCTCAACCATTTTCCATTTGCACTTCCTCCTTCCTCATGCTTCCTCCCCACCGCAGTGCCTGAAGGCCTGCACATCCCCCACCACATGGCATGGCACAAGGGCGGGGTGAGCCCCAACAGCGACAGGGCCATGTAGGCATGGGTCTCCATCCTGGACCACGAGCTCATCCCCTCCCCACCTCTTTCCCCCCCTTTCCCCTCGGTTCCACCTGCCCATCCCTGCATCCGTCCCAGTGCCTGAAGGCGTGTGCGTCGCCCACCATATCGCGCAAGGACGGGAAGAGTCCCAATAGCGACAGATCCATTGATGCACCGATCTCCGTCTTGGATCACGAGCTCATGCCCTTCCTCCACCTCCACTTACCCCTCTTATCCCCTCTGCCCTGCTCTCTTCTCTACCCCCCGTTCTCCAGTGCCTGAAGTCGTGTGCGTCGCCCACCATATCGCGCAAGGGCGGGGTGAGCCCCAACGGCGACAGGGCCATGGACGCAATGGTCTCCATCCTGGCGCACGAGCTCGCAGAGGCAGCATCTGACCCGTACCTCGGCACGTGGACAGACGCCAGCGGCATGGAGAATGCGGATATCTGCGCCTGGAGGTGAGTGGGGACGCTATAGGGAAAGTTGGTAGGTGGCACTGTAGGGAAGCTGATAGCGCTGGTTGGTATGGGTGTGAGGGGGCGGCTTCTGATCCGTACCTCGGCACGTGGACCGACGTCAGCGACGTGGGGAACACTGATATCTGCACCTGGAGGTGAATTGCAGTGGTGTATAAACCACAGGGAATACCGCATGCAACACTCGTGATCTGTACCTTGGTCGTCACGTGGGCCAACGCTACCGGCACAGAAAATGCAGACATCTGTGCCTAGAAATGTGTGGGTGGAGTGGCAGAGGGCGGCTCGTGCCAGTACAGGATGGCTGCACCGAAATCGCCACTAAGTTCCCTGACTGCTCTACCTCCTTCTCGCATCACCCTTCCTCCTCTCCACCCGCCTTTCACTCCCATCCATCGATCAGCTACAGGGGATATGGCACAACAGAAACGGCTGACAGCGGACTGTATGTTGGGGGTGGGTGGGATGATGTTCCCTTACATGCCTTTCTCTCTCTCTCTCTCTCTCTCTCTCTCTCTCTCTCTCTCTCTCTCTCTCTCTCTCTCTCTCTCTCTCTCTCTCTCTCCCCTCCCTATCCCCCTCCAACCATCCATCAGCTATGGCTCTGTGGAAACGACGGACAGCGGAGCAGACTATAATCTAGTGGGTCGGGATGGGATGAAGTTCCTAGTGCAGCAGAACTACCACCCGACGCAACGCACGTGCCTGGCTACCACCACCGTATAGCGTGGTTTCACTGCAGTGCAACAGCATTACAAACATCGGGTGGTTACCAGTAGAGAATTCTTACACCGGTTCCAATCGTTGGGAGCTCCTCTCGAGCTGCTGCTTGCGCTCGCCGTCGTCAGTCACTCACACCGATAGAGAGATGGAACTTCATGGGGAGTCATGCTTTGTGACTCCCTATGCAGTTCTGATTTCTTGGGAGCTTCTCTCATGCTCCTGGGATAATATCCTTGAGGTTGTTCTATTGGCATACCATTTGTTACCATTCTAATGCCCATGTTATTGCACGTATACACCCTTCATTCACCAAAGGAATTTTCATTTAGGTTGTAGAAGCTACTGACCCGTCATTTCACTACGCAAGACCCCATCAGCCGATTGCAACCTATTGCAATCGATCGGACGGAATTTGTTTTCATCCTAAAATTCAAAAGACACGGAAAAGAAGACGGAAAGAATGTAAGGACATTTAAAGCCTGCCCGGCAGGTTGCATATTGGTACTCTTCAGGTTGGTGGGGTGGCAGAATCAGATTGGCTGACGAAAACGTGTAGCAGCGTGTCAACAAATATAGTTATAGTTGTTAGAATACGTGAATGATCTACTAGAAGGAGAAACCTAGAACATATACTTGTTGGGTTGTACTCACTAGAAGCACACACCTAGTCTGGCCTATAACTTCTATATAGATCATATGTATCAGTTGACACACCCCCAAGGCTAGATGAGGGGTGGTGCTAAGCAAAAAGCACACAGCTCAGGGTGGCACTACTAGTCCAACCACTGAGGCAGGGGTCCGGAGACCAGTCAACAATATCAGAAAATTGAATGATAGTGATAGAGGGAGAGTACACACAATATAGCTAAGTGTTGTACCCTCTAAGAGGCTACCCTATACAGTCTATACAAACATAACAAATAGACATGTTTGACACACCCCCTAGACTGCATAGGGGAAAGTCCTAAACAAACAACTCAGGGCGGCACTACTAGTCCAACCTCTGAGACAAGGGTCTGAGCGACCAGTCAGAAGGAGTACAGACAAGGCAAGCAAAGAGCAGGGCGGCACTACTAGTCCAGCCACTGGGAGAGGACACAAGTCCAGTCTGTGTATACATATAAAGGACAGTACAAAGTCAAGGTCCTAGCAAGTGAGAGGCTACAGGAACTAGACCAAGCTGTACACAGTGCCGCTGATGATCTTTAGGCGCAAGCGCCTTCGTAAAGATATCAGCCGTGTTGGCACCTGAGGCCAAGTGTACTACGCGAGCCTGACGTCGCTGCTGTAGCTCACGCAGGAGGAAGTACCGCAGCTGAATGTGCTTCGCTCTGCCCTCGAGTCGAGGCTCCTGACACAGGAGGATCATGGCCCTGTTGTCAGCGAACAGGACCGGGGCAGAGCTAGGTCGCTCACCTAAGTCAGTGAGCAAGAAGGTCAGCCAGCGGAGCTCCTGTGCCGCCATGGCACCGGCGTAGATCTCAGCCTCACAGCTGGACTGTGCAACAGACGAGGAGCGAGTAGCTCTCCACGAGACGGCACCTGAGCCAAGGCTGAAGCAGTAGCCCTGGGTAGACCGGAGTGTCTCAGCGTCGTCTGCCCACGAAGCGTCTGTGTGCCCAGTAAGGACCGCTGGCCTGCGTCCTCCTAGCACTAACCCCATGCCCGATGTACTAGCAAGATAACGCAGAACCCTCTTAGCGGCAGACCAGTGCTGCGGTCGGTGTCTGCCTGTGGCCACAAAGCGAGCCAGGATGCTGAGAGGGTATGCGAGATCTGGGCGAGTGCAAGTCATCAGGTACATGAGGCAACCCACCAGCTCTGCGTAGGGGCCGCTGGGCTCTACCAACTCCTCAGGCACTGGAGCGGAGAGCCTGTGGTCTACAGGCAGAGGGGTGGGCTGTGCAGAGGAGAACTGAAGGCTGAACCTCTGAAGGACCTGGCGCACCAAGTGTGACTGAGTCAGGGTGATGGTGCGCGCAGCTCTGTCCCTGGAGATCTGCAAGCCAAGGTAACGGCGCAGTTCTCCAAGGTCAGTGCAGGTGTGTCTCTTCAGCAGCTCTGCCTTCACGGAGGCCAGCGCGTCCCTGTCTGCTGTGGCAAAGACCAGGTCGTCGACGTAGACGAGGATGTAGAACGGAGTCTGGCCAGCACGAACGAAGAGTGAAGGGTCTGCAGAAGACGGAAAGAACTGCAGGTCAGCAAGCGTAGCACGCAGAGTGTCGTGCCACTCACGGGGAGCCTAGCGCAGGCCGTAGACGGGGCGCCGCAGGAGCCACTGGGTCCCAGGAGGGAAGGTGCCAGTAAAGCCCGGAGGGCGGCGCAGGTAGACCTGCTCGTGTAGGCTGCCCTGAAGGAAGGCAGTGGAGAAGTCGAGAGAGTGAAGCTCGTAGTCACGCTGAGCAGCTAGGTGTAACAGAACCCGAAGAGTAGTCATCTTCGGGGTCGGAGCGAAAGTCTGGAAGAAGTCCACCCCCTCGCGCTGACTGAAGCCTCTAGCCACATAGCGCGCCTTGAAGACAGGCGGCTCTCCAGGAGGGCGCTTCACCTTGAAGAGCCAGCGGCCATCGACTACGTTCACCCCAGGTGGGGGAACTGCGTCGACGAAGGTGCCGGTGGATCTCCAAGATGCCATCTCCTGCTCCATGGCAGCTATCCACTGCGAGGCCCAGGGTCCCGAGGTCGCCTCAGCGTAAGTGCGAGGGGTCGGGATGTCAAAAGCGTCTGGGTCACCCTCAGGGACTAGCAGCATGGAACAGAGATGGGGAGCAGCCTCGGAGAGGAAAGCAAGCTCGAACTGGCGGTCCTCCAGGACGTCACTGCCAAGGGCAGGAGCACCCCCGACAGACAGAGGACAGGCAGGGTCAGAGACCAGAGCGGTGGCGTAGTCAAGGCGACGGGTAGAGGCGAAGTCAGCGACAGCAGCGACAAGAGCGTCAAGGCACGAGACTGGAACAGACGGGTCGGTAACGAGAGAGGCAAGGACCCGAGGAACGAGGGGACGAGCGGCACGAAGGTAGTCGGACAGCGGGGGAGGCGCAACAACAAGGGAGGACGGAGGAGGCGACGGCAGAAGGGGAGGACGAGACGCGTGTGAACGAAGCAACATAGGGTGGGAGCGCAGGACAGGCGAGGCAGGACGAGCACGGGAGGGACGGTGAGACCAGACGTGCGATGGAGGAGTCGGGTCAGGAGACAGGGGAGGGGACACAGGAGGTGAACGAGGGGGGAGACGGGCCGGGGACGAGTCCGGCGGAGGGAAAACAGGGCCGTAGACAGGAAGAGGAGGAGACGGTCGGGGAGGAACCGACGCAGGGTCGGGGGACGGAAGGCCGAGCAGGCGAAGGGCGGACACCGGCGGGGACTGCTGCTGCGGCGGCACAACGGCGACACCTGGACCGCAAGCTGCTCCTCGGCTACCACCGGCACGCTCCACACCCGCACCCCCAGAGGGACCACCCTCAGGGGGACCGGGACGAGCACCCCCAGAGTCAGCGAACGGGGCCTGCGACTGCGGCAGCGGCGGCGGCGGCGGCGACGGCGACGGCTGCAGTGGCGGCAGGGACGGCGGAGGAGGGAACTGGGGAGGGGACACCTGGGGAGGGGCGGCCGGCGAGGACTGCACCGGAGGGCCACCAGAGTCAGAAGACTCCTCAACCGGGTCCACGGACGGAAGGGGGGTGACATGGGAGACACCAGAGGGGGCGGGACGGGGAGGAGGAGGAGGAGGGGCAGGGACTACCGGGGAAGGGGTGACCAGGAACAGGGGGGGGGTAACCGGTGGACCACGGTGGGGGAAGCGGCGGTAGTAGGAGACGGACTCGTCAAAGGTGACGTCACGAGAGTGAAAGAAGCGGTGAGACGGCGGGTGGTAAAAGTGCCAGTCGGACGCGTCAAGGGGAAAACCGAGGAAGACGCAGGGAAGGGTGCGGGCAGTGAGCTTGTCCGTGCCGGAGGCACGGACGTGAGCAAGGCAGCCCCAGACGTGGAACGCAGACGCGTCACCAGGAGACCTAGTCCACAGACGGGTCGGCGAAACCTGCGGCTTCTGAGGGTGCGGCCACAGGTTAAGCTGGTGAGAAGCGTAGCGCACAGCGAACGGCCACAGAAAATGGGGTGCACCGGCATGGACCATGGAGGTGCGAGCGACCTCCATGACCAAGCCGATGCGTCGCTCAGCGACCCCATTCTGCTGTGGGGAGTCCGGTAGGGTGAACGTCTGGGTGATGCCCTCCGCACGACAAAAGCGACCAAGGACACCTGAGGCAAACTCGCCACCACGGTCCGAGTGAAGACGCAAGACAGGGAGACCGCGGTGGACACGCGCAGAGACAAGCCAGGGGATGAGGGCGCCAGGCACGTCGGCCTTGCGCTCCAGGGGAAAGACTGTGGTGTAACGAGTGAAGTCGTCGACAAGCACAAGGAAGTAGCGCTCGCGACGCGGCCCAGGGACGGGGGCGGGGCCCCAGACGTCCACGTGCAGGGTCTGCAGCGGCGCGACGGTAGGGGGGAACGAGGAGGAGTGAGGGGCACGGCGAAGCCGACCCTCGACACAAGGCGTGCAAGGTGGAGCTGGGGAGGAGGGAAACGCGGGGAGTGAACCTGGGAGACCAAGGACAAGACCGTGCTGGGACATGTGACGCAGACGCGGGAGCGCAGGGTGACCTAGGCGGTGGTGCCAAAGGAGGGTCGGGTGAGTGAGGGAGCGACAGGAGCAGGCAGCAGCAACCTGGGTAGACACAGCCACCTGAGGGGGCGCTCTAGCCGGGGGGGGCACGGTGTCCAGAGTGAACAGGCCGGACACCGGGTCCCGGGGGAACGTGGACAGGGGGGCACCAGTGGCGGCCTCGGTACAGACAGCATACCGCTCGTGACCAGGGAACGTAGTGGTGACGCCAAGGTCCTGGAGGCAGCCGACACCAACTAGGTTCCTGGAGAACGAGGGGATATGCAGACCTGTAAGAGAGCCCGAAGGAACCGCCGGACAGGGAAGGGTGGTGGAACTGCGGGCGACTACCGGGCCGCCGGAGGGGTCAGCAAGAGAAACGGCAGCAGGAACAGGAAGCGGCGTCAGGGTGGTGGAGTCGCGGAAGAAACACCGAGAGGCGCCAGAGTCCAAGGTAAAGGAAAGCGAAGCCGAGGGGTCTGGCGACGGAACGACGACAGAAGCACCAAGACTACACAAAGCAGGGGATCCTACGCCTGACGCAGCAGGGGGGGCTAAGCTAGGCACACCTACACTAGGCAACAGTGAGTAATAAGTCGGAAGCACACTAGAGTCATCAGCATACATCACATGCAGAGCAGAAAC